GACGGTGGCGTCATAGACGCAAATGATGCAGACATCTTCTGCTGCAGGTGCTCTAGCAAAGCGTTTTTCGTAATTTGAAAACGCCTCTAGACGCGCACCGATTGCCCCGGGGCCTTGCGCAGCAAGGTGTTGCACGCCCTCAGGGCCAAGCAAGGACATTAGCTTTATAAGCCCGTCCTGCATGCCCTGGGGCAAAGAGGAATATTGTTCCATCCTTACAGAGAATCAGTCAAAACGACTCAGGTGTGGATTGACTACGAGTGCTACCAAGTGCAGCGGGGCTGCCGTAGCTTAGCGCTTGAGGAAGCGTAATTAAGGTCACCGACCTTTCGTTCTATACTTAGAACAAGGACGAGTTAGCGGATCGCAATTCGCTTACTCCACGAGTAATTGCCTTACCCAAGGCTAATTAGCTCTTCTGTTTAAAATCCAAAACTGATATTTATTTATTTTCTTAACCTAATTTCAAAAGTCTAGATTTTCCTAAATATAATAAATATATAAAGTAAAATCTAAATACGTGCATAACTACTGGCTACCTAGCCCCATATCGCATTCTTGTTTGGGTGTGGTCACACCATAGACATCTCGTGTGACACACACCCCTGTTACCAGGGTTCGTGTAACCCCGTTACATCTAAAATAGCAGCTAGTCAAATTTTATCGACAGCCCCCAATAAGATTAAAGCCGATTTTGTGGTGGTGGCAAAGGATTTTGAGTGCTGGTGAACAATTTTACTATAACGGGGATAAACCTGCAAAGGCATGTACCGTACTATTGAGCATAATCTGAATGACTGCGGTCTTTCCACCTTGTTCTTCGATGTACCCTCCACCTCTCGAACGCGTCCCTAGTTATATTATATGTTTGCGGAAGATCGGCATGCAGACATGTCTCATCTGATACCAAGCACAGTGAAAATGTCACTCAAAAGTTGCTGAAAAGCACCAGTCTTAATCCGAAATAATGGCCATCGGCAAGCCATGCTGGCGAAAAAGAGCACTTTGCTGTATCTAACGGTCCACAAAGAATACAATGTCTGCATTACCGGACGCCTCTTCTGAAGACCCTTATTAAAGTGCAGTCCTATGGTGATTCTCTACAGTTTGTACACCCAATAAATGTTCTGATTGATGCAGGCCGGGCTCGTGACAGCCAAAATGATGCTGATCGACTCAATTCTCTCCAATCAATCATGCCATCCACTTAGGGTTGCTTTATCAGTTCGTAACGGCATTTATAAATTTAAAAAACACTACGAGTGCCTAATGCGGCATTTATAATTCTTCAAAAACGATTGTAGTAGCGCTTTCAATAATGTTGTCATATAAGTGAGGAGATCACCACTTGAGAATACCGGTATGGTGCTGGTTATACAAATTGCGTTCGTACACATTTTGTCGAATTTCGCTTCTACGTCGCAACTGGCTAGTAATACAATCATTTTTGCGGTGTAGGCAACAAACAACACACGCGTCATTCTAAATATCGGGAATGGGATTAGCGACTGCTGACACCAAGACAGTGGCAAACGAGCCTTCGCATCAGACTCATTCGTCTTTTTCCTTCACTATGAAGCTTCTCTCAATTGTAGTAGTTGTGCTCGCAGCTACTGGCGGATGGTTTGTTCGCCAACGCGAGGATTTTGATGACGTAGTGCTGAATATACTTAGAGATACAAAGTTGTTATCTCACGTACCGTCCAGCTTCTTCGAAATGATTGACGTGTTGCCGTATAAGTACGAGAGTGATGTAGTGGCTTTGGAAGTGCGCCATTTAGTGAGTAAGTTCTCGTGCAATGATTCAGACTACATGGCTTCGCCTTTATTTGACGGCAAAGTCTTCCCTGTCACTGATCCTATGGAAGCGGATACGCCAATGGCCGATGATCGAGTGTTTTTCATGCTTAACGGTGCGAATGTCGGTACTTATATTTCCTGGAACGGCGACTTTAACTGCATTGGGCAGGCAGCTGAATTGGCTGCAGTGCGACTCGGAGCGGACCGAGACGTGATAGTGAATGGTGTACGGCTGTACAGTCAATTGGGTTGGCCTGTTCGTAATGAAAATGACTTGCACAAGACAAAAAACATTGTTCATGTGTTACTGGACTTTCAATTGTGGCAATGGCCAGGTATCAAAAAGGGGTACAAGTACCTGTTGGAAAACGGTGTGACGTTGACGATGGTAGGGATCAATCCCAAAGTGTTTGATGTCGAGTACTTTTTCACTCAAGAAGAGGCAGACAAAGTCATTGAACTTGGATTGCCGACGCTAAACCGCTCGATGGTGGATTCCCATAACTCATCGCGTCAGATGAGCCAGGTGCGCACAAGTCATACAGCTTTCTTGCCTGACAGTTTTTTTACAAGAAATTTTCGAAAGCGTTCAGCTTTTGTAGCTCGACTTCCAAGTCCATCGTACGCTGAGCGATTGCAGCTAGTACGATACAATGCCGGTGAGTTCTATCGAAAACACCATGACACATTTTCATCTCGCGAGATTCTGCCGAAAAAGTCAGCGCACGTTTTTGGATTAGATGAATACATTAAGTGGGCCAATTGGGCGTCTGGCAAAATTCGTGAATTGAGCTTGCAACGTGACATTCCAGAAGACTTTCGTGAAGGAGGGCTACTCTTTCCGAATGCCACAGACAAGCGAAACTTTCAAATTGCTTTGGTAAAGCTCTTTTACACTGAAGCTAATGCAACCAATTTGTTTAAGACCTTATCTGATGAGGCATGGCTTACTTGGCTAGATGAAAACGCTAACAACAATGCGACGGGAATAATTGATGTTCTCCTTGCTGAAAATGAAAAGCCACATTATTTACCACTCCTCGTCAGAGCTTGGGAAAAAGCGCTTGGGCTACCTGATTTGCACTACACTTTTTCTAAGCCCGCGATGAACTCGGTATCGCACTATTTCGCGTGGGTGCGCTGGGCAAAGGAGCGTATCACTTTTCTGGGTGACGAAGTTCCGTTAATGGCTCGCCCAGAGGGAGATTTTTACCCGGAGTTCACGGTCGCCTTTCAAACAAAATTGCTGGGGTTCGTGCTGGACGACCATACTCCTGAATTTGTCAGGCGTATCACCAATGCAGAATGGTACGATTATATGGTCAGGGACCGCAGCACAAACCATTGTTTAATTAACGTACTCAAGGCTTTTCCGCAATTCGCCGAACTTGTGATCAAGACTTGGGAAGCGCGCGTACGTGCACCCGCTCAGCTACGCTATACGCTACCTACCTACATCAAGCACTTCCACCCGCAGCGCTACGTTACGCTGTTTTTATACCTGAACAATCAGACCAAAATTGGGGGTGAAACCGTGTTTCCACACTCTCTGGATCGGTATTCAGACAAAGATATTGTTCGTGATGGGATGGATGAGTGTTCGTTGGGACTGGCAGTGCCTCCTCTTGGCTTGCACGCTTCACTTTTCTACGTCCAAACACCTGAAGGCGATGAAGATTTATTCAGCTTACATGGTGGATGCCCACCGCATGAAGGAACCAAATGGGGCTCAAATTCTTTCATGTGGAACGCCGATGCTGATGAATCCGGGAATTTCTGGGCTACGAAGTAGTCTGTTACTTTATGTGACGTATTGAGCACAGCATCAAAAGTGTCGATAAGAGTGATTCTATAGTTATCTTCTTGCGATTAAATGTGTGTTTATGATAACAAAAGTTCATGCAGCTCTTCTTCCCGAAAAGCAGTCATTGTATCATTGTGGTAATGGATCCTCATCAGTCCAGTGTTGAAATTAGTTTTGATTTGACCTTGATGCTAAAGATGTATGAAGAACGTAATAAATACTCAAATCTCAATTCAGCGTCTCACAGGATGAAATGCTGAAAGCAATCGGACGCTTCCACGTCCGTGAGACAAAAATGATGAAGCTATTTTTACAGAAACAAAGGGTCAAGTCCAAGAAATCAGCAGATTTTTGATTCAAATGAATGCAACTTCTGCTCGAAGTGATCAGGCTACACAGCAAACAGCGTCAACTGCGATATTACCACGTTACATGCAACCGACGTTCTCGTCGATTCTTCCTGAATATGCTAATGCAGAAACAGAACAAATTCGTAAAGCTTTTGGTACAGGTAATTTTACAAATATTCAGATAATGCCAACTCGATTGCACAACAACGCAGTGAACCAGGCAAGGTTTGAAAAGATGAATGAAAATCGAATCAATCAGTCAAAAGTTGGCAAAAACTTTACTCAAAATGGATTCTTTAGCCGATTCGAGTATATGCCATCACAATGTAATGATGAACAAGCACGAACGGAAAGACTTCGTTTTGAGGCCAAGCGCTCTGAGATTAGTAGTCACGACTTTTTAAGCGGTGGTAGTGCTGCTCGACTTAAGCATGAAGATGCTTTTGGAGCCCTAAACTTTCGATATCCACATCTGTACGAGCCATATCCGGATAACAGCGAAAAGAAAAAGCTTGAGCGCTTATGTAGGGAAAAGAAAATTTTGCATGGTCCGTTTGTGCCATCTGGCCAACGGCCTCGTGTGACGCGGATGCTAACTCCTCAAATAATGATCGAGATGCACGAAGCCATTGCGGCAGACTGGCAAGGTTTAAAAATTGCCATTACACCTACTCAAGACGAACACATTTTGGTATGTTTTAATGATTCATCTCTCAGGAGCACAGACGAAATCCTCGCATACATGAACGTCTTTTGCAAAACCAATCGAGTAGCGTGTAAGTACGGACTTTGTAAAGCAACGGAGGACTGGAATTTTAAGTCTAGTGACGGTAGGCTTTATTTCGCCTTTCGACCTCCTTGGGTCAAAAATCGCTCCAAAAATCTTGTAAATGGTATAACAAGATAGATGCTTTGAAAGCGTCTAAGGATATTCATTTAAGCGCATATTGCATTGCTACTTACAGATTGATGTACCCCTCACAAGACCACAATTTAAAACTTAATACTTTGTTGGCCAGTCACCGATAATTCAAGTTCCAGCGTAGGTCCAGCATCATAAATGATTAGGACTTAAGACAACATAAATGCTGCATGTTCCCCCATCAATCGCTACAAAAGGTGATCTGTGGGTTATATTTTTTGTAGATCTAGAAATGTGTCATCTGCTTTGTATACCGCGCGTCCTCTGACTATATTTGTTTGAGCTGAATTGGAGGGAGAGCCAACAGGGTGCATAGTGTGTGTCGGTGGTATCACGCTGTTTGTTGAGTTGACCCTATCAGCTGGCGTACTGCTTCAGCATTTTTTGGTCTCTATTTTTGCCATCTGGAGACAAAAGCTTTTTTAGTCCAACACATGCGCTCTATTTCGTCACTAACGTCTGTCTTCTTATCCCACGATCTGGGCTATCACTTGTAGAATTCATTTGTGTTCCTCAAGATGCTCTCGCCTAGCTCCTTGCAACAACTGACTGGGCAACTTGAGGTCAAGTTCAAAGGAGGTGCCTTTTCTACATGGTCCGACAGCTTTGTACGAATTCAAGGTCGATGGCTATGCGTTTATAAGCACGAACGCGATTCCGTACGTCAGGGTGCCATCGAACTTGGAATGGGTGTCACTGTCACGGATATGGCAAATTCAGAAGCATATGCTAAATTCCAAAGACATTTTCACCTTACTTGCAATGGTGGGTTACTCCCCAGGATGGAGGTTAAATTTCGCGCTAAGACACGAGAAGACAGAGACTTGTGGGTACAAGCAATTGCTACGAACCTGCAATGCCTAACAAGTTCTAAAGGGATGGATCCTTTCTACGGAGTCGAAGAAATGACCATTTTTTCTGACAATATACTTGAAGACATAATGCTACACCCTATTCGCATTCGTTCTGACATGACAATCAAGTGTGCGACAGGTGAAACGATCGTGTCGGCTCTGTTGAAGCACAACTTAGTATCAGATCGAGTTACAGGCACAATATTCTGTCGTCAATTACTGTCAATGAATTTGCTACACCATGTCATGTGGGATCGTGACTTCACTGATTCGCCCGAACCTTTCGTGATTGCTGCGTATGATGTTGAGAATGACCGTCGATCTGAGAAAGAAAGTGACTACCACGTCACGCACTTTTCAAAATACATGGACTCTCGCAAGTTTTGGAGATACATTGCAGAATCTGATGTGAAGAACAAGATCACCAGCTCCGGTGGTATTCGACGTGCTGTTCTCAGTTCTTCATCCGTCAGCCGATCTGCGAGCTCGTCAAGTACAGGGTGCACTCCTAGTATTTCGGTTGGATCAGAACAGGAAACTTGGCGCATTCTGACGAATCGCTCATCCACTGGTAGTACTCAGCCTTCATACGCTGGACCGGAGAAAAAGGCTAGGAAATGTGCAGTATGCGCGAAGTCTTTTAATCCACTGCGTCGACGTTATTTCTGTCATCATTGTTGTAATGTTGTTTGCAGTAATTGCAGTGTCATCCCCGTCAAAGACAGTGGAGAATCAGCTGGAAAAGCGGTGCCGTCATGGCAAATCTGCATTAGTTGCAAGCTTATATCAAATGCTACGTTTATGGGTGAGCCTGATGATTTGATGGATGGAAAAATCCAGCTACAGACCTCGCAAAGTGCCAGTGACGTGCTGACATCGACGTCATCGACAAGCGAGTTTAGTAGATCCAATGTTGCTGAATTTTCAAGCCAAGGAACGTCTGTATGTCATCACTGTCAAAATGAAAAGTGCAGTCCTATTACTGATTTTCTACAGATTAAATATCCGGTGAACTTTCCAATTGACGTCGGATTTGTGACGGCCGAGCAATTCACAAATGAAGCTGTGCGACTCGAGTCTGTCAAAGCTCTGCTAGTCACAATGGCATCCACTCCGAGTGTGACGCGCGTACTTCGTCAGTTCTGTAACATGGCAGCTATTGCTTCTCAATGTCCCATTGCTATCGTTGGGTTTCTAGAAGAGGATAAGTACGTTTTAGGATCCCAATATGGCATTAATTCTGAAGCCGCTGTGCCTCGAAGTCACGCGATAGCAGCTCACACTTGTCGTAGTGGTGAGCCGCTCGTTTGTTCAGACATGGCTCTGGACGTACGCTTCAAGGGAAATACTTGGCGTCAAGAAAGTCTCAAATGCGCGCGATTGTATGTCGGAATTCCATTAATTCTTTCTGATGGATGCGTTGTTGGAGCGCTAGAAGTGTTTGATCTGCAGCCTCGTTACGAATGCGGCGAAATGTTGGGTCGACTTCAGACTGTGGTTCGCGGATTGCTTAATTTGCTCGAAAAGATAATGACGGCAACTGCAGAAGCCCATAAAGAAGAAGTGGAGGAACAATTTAACGAAGCACTAACTGAGTATCAAACGGAGCAACCGAATATTCAGAATCAGGAAAAGGAACAGTCTACAGCTGTGAATCCCATGGAAGCTCAGCTTCTTGAGCTACTTTCACAAACAACCACTACGCAGGAGCAATTGCGCGCACAACAAGGTCAAATGGTCAGCGCAATTTCTAGCCATTCGAAGCAGATTGACAACTTGACGAAACAGCTTGAGCGAATAGAGGCCACTCTTGCAACCAAACTGGACGGTAAACGCGGAGACAAGGATTAACCAAGTTTTCTTGCAGCTTGAATAATCAATGGAATTTACGTACAAAAGAGTTTACATAAAATATAGTCAAACTTTTTTCATAGTTCTACTGTGCGTCGATCGGGCAATCAATTGCCGTGACGAGGCAATCAATCTGTAGACCAGACACCAAACAAACAATCCTTTTAACCATGTGTTGGCCCTATTTTATTTTGCATTACAATGTGTAGTTACAATGCCACTGGGTCTAATTCACTAACTAAGCACTGGCTGCGTCAGCATCATCATTCGAGGGAGTGTCCTCGCCATCGTCTGAGTCCATACCGAGTTTTGCCGCGAGCGTCGATTCCATACGTTCAAGCTGCTTGGCCAAGTCACTAATCTGTTTCGAGTGGCTGCTAATTGCGTGTACCATCTGTCCCTGCTGGTTGCGCAGTTGTTCCTGTGTGCTAGTAGTTTGAGATAATAGCTGCATCAGTCGCGTCTCCATATCATCCTGTAACAGCTCACCCCCACCTGCTGCGGGAGCTGGTGCTACCGGAGCAGTTATTGGAGCTGCAGGCGCAACCATCTTTGGCTCTTCCTTTGGCTTGGGCGGTTGAGGTGCTGGGCCCGACGGTTTGTGGTTTGGTGACTTTGCGGTAGGCTGAGGCGATTTCTTTGGTGGTGGAATGGCAGGTGCAGTTGGGGCACTGGGTGCCGGAGCACGTGAAGTCCGTTGCTTGTTATTGTCGCCCTCGTTCTGTAGAGTTCCTCTTCCTAACGATGCTGAGGACTTTTGCCCCAATTCATCGTCTAAAATATCGTTCTTTGCCAAAATTTCTTCAAACTTGCGTAATAAGCCGCGAACGACTGTCTGTAGCTGTGAAATAACATCCATACACGCAAATCGTGGTATGGTATCAAATACTTCAATCGCTCCAATAGTGTGGCCGTTCGATAGCGTTAGCGGAATACCAGCATAAAACTGCGCCTGCAGTACATCTCTCCGCCACGGATTCGCAGCAAAGCGAACATCACGATTCAGGTCACTGCATACAAGTGGCGATCCATTTCGACAAGCATGTGCAGCTAGACTTTTTTGTCGATCAATCTTGTCTAAAGATCCTAGACCCAATTCTGCACACGGCATATACACGTGTTTATCCAAGAGCCCCACCAAAGCCATAGGACACGAAGTAGCGATCGCAGCCATGTTAGAAAATTGCTTGATCATTTGCAAGTCCGACGTGCCAGTTTTTAAAGCGCTCCATATCGTCCGTACGGAACGGAGACGCTCCTTCTCATTATCAAGGTGTTTTGCAGCAATGTACTGATTTTTCGCCGCTGGGTCCGCAAGCTCGAGGAAGAAAGGATATGGGACCTCAAAGTACTCGTGTAGAGGAGCACAGGCTTCGTTCATGCACCATGGACAGTCTTCGGTAACTACTGGTGGTCCTGTAAATGAGCCGTGGCGTGCCCTTTGGCCAGAAGGATCAGTGGTGGGGTTACTACTGGTTGTGCTAGACTTGCGTCGAGCAGAGAGACTCGAGCTACTAGCTGCACGCTTGTCCATGTGAAGTTGCAAATCACCAATTGAAGAGTCATCTTTGACATTTCCCGCTCCTGAAGAATAGCTGGCAAAACTAAGACGGTCAGTTGTATAATCTCCTTCACTGCCACTTGGTTGAGAGTCTGACATTGCGGCTGTATTCGAACCTCCATTCGTCGAAAAGATACGATCATAAAAATCGTCTTGTGACGCAATGGAGCTGAGCTTACAGCTTACACACATGCGGACAGTAATTGCCCCTTCAAACGTACTTTCAACCTTTCTAGAAATACTACACGAGCTGCAGACCACAGCCGTGCACGTGCGGCAATAGTGTCGTCGACGGAGTGGATTGAAACTCTTGCCACATACAGAACATTTCTTACTGGCTTTTGACTCGGCTGCTGTATTAGCATTGTGCGCGTGATTCATTGTTTGATGCGACTGCCCAATGACAGTGGTAGCACTGGGACCCACAAGAGAACTGCTTGCGGTAAAATTCATAGGCTTCCGGTCTCCACGACTGCTATGGTCGGCAGAGCGAGTGCGATGCATATGGCTCTGATTGAGCGAATCCATGTCTCCGGATATAGAAGTCTGCGATTGAAGAACCTGAGATTGAGCTGCAAACAATTCAGCAGAAGAGCTGGCGGTACTACGCACAGATGAAAGGTCAGTATCCTGAGTGTCGCTTAAGGCAACGAATTTCCCGCTAAGGAACTTGGTACTACTGTTGGCAATTGTAAAATCGAAGAGGTTGCGACCCATGAAGCACGCAAAGCGGCTCTCGATCGGGGTCAGGAAGCGGCTCACAAATAGGCAGAGCTGGAGTGATGCCTTGGCGTTCTTCGTCCGTCCGCAATAGGCGAGGGGGAGAGAGGAGAAAAATATATTATACACCAATGAAACACTCGATTGGATGCTTACCGCCAATCGTAAGGATATTTCGTTCTGACTATGTATTAAGAGTCAGCCTTAACAGATATTTTCGTTATGAGGATGTTAGGTGTAATTTATGGCTATCTCGCAAAAACAAGCGGCGATGTAATGGGCAATTGATGGCTAAAGGAGGTCTTGCTTTCTTTTAGCTACTTGTCACACAATAGGTAGGCGGGATAGGTCCGTTTTAAGACGACGTGACGACAGAAGCTTTGATTAGACTATACACCGCAGACGACGCCTTTCAAGCCGGATCGAAATTTATTTGGTCTGCGTATTGACGGGCTCGCCTCTGGCAAAAAAAGGCAAACGATCATCCCTTCGCTCTGTGGCCCACCGAAGCACACACTTTGCATGCAGAGGCTAATGAGTCGCGTTGGTGTATTTGTAAGATTTCATTATCATTGCTTTGATATTTGAATGAGAGGCTAATAATGAAGATCATTTCATATTTCTCTCAAACTATTTTCCAAGCTTTAAATGAGGTATATCGGTAAGTGTTCCGCTATTCAAATGAGGGCAATCATCGTTGGAGCACTTGCTCATCAAGATAAACAGCGATTGACGCAGCAGTGGATTCTGAGATGAGACATAAGGTTAATGTTATATAGAATTGACCATTGTTCAAAGAGTTAAGCGAATTTTACACCACAATGTCCATCTGGTGCAACAAATACACTCTCGAACGATGTCTTATCAACCTTTAGCTTGCTATATTCCCGTGACAACTTCAGAGTTATGTTGGCTACTCCGACTGTGGAACACCCTTTAAGGTTTTAACGCCTGTCTGCCCACACTGACCTTTACAACTTTACGAACGTTTCGTTCATACTGACAGTTTGAACAGAAATCGCAATCAGGTGGAGATTGTCAACACCGAACCACTACAATATTGTTTTCAGACATAGATATATGACGCTTCATGAACGTCATTAAATGCAAAACTTAATGTTCATAATTCCTCAAGATGTGGCAACAATTAGTTGAGCTTTTAATTCAACGGTAACGATCGGTACAAACATCAGTATAATTGTATCAAATTTTGCGGGCGGCTAGTCATTGTGTGTACTCTATCATTTGATGTATTTAGCTCTTTCAAAGATGTCTTAGTCATTCTGCGCGATACATTAATACAAGCTGATGCATTGCCTTAAGGTGGTCATGGTCATTAGGGCACATCAGAATCTGGGCATGCATCGGAGATTTGCAACAATGAATTACATCAGTAGATGCTCAGTAAAAATGGTAATATCCTTAGTTGCAGATTTTTTTAGACTGACAGATGCAGCGAATGCCGATTTTGCAATTCGTTTTTGGAAATGGGCCGCCGGGTCAAATAAGGCATATATGATTACACTCAAACAGCGTATTTAAAACGATCTTGATATACGAATCTTTTGGTGTATGGAGTACTTCTGCTAACAAAAACGATTCAGTAAGTTTCGATGTCAGTCCTTGTCTCATTTTGAAAAAAAAAAAGATTTTGGAGACGAACTAAACATGGTTTTTGAGTTCGAAGGCCTTGCAGACCACCAAAAGTGTCTAATTGTGTCATTCGCTCAACTAAATTTCGGCGTGGTGACCATTTTATAATAGATCTTATTTGCATACCATGCACTGCAAAGTCGATAATGATGCAGAACATGCTAGTTCAGCGACATTTCGTCACTTCGATTGTTTGAGGGAATGTGGGCAGGTGGTCGTAGCTCCATAAATGCCTTCTAATGCGAATACGAAGAGGTTGGCGGCAACAAAATGAATACGATTGCGAACTGAAAAGGAACATTGACATAGCGTCTGCGCGGAAATATATCTAAATCTTGCAGAACGCCCAACGCCTGCTTCTTTTTCAGATCCCTCCGGCTTATTATAATAAAATGGCAATTCAATTTAAGCTCTTATTCTCTGGTCGGGAAGTTTGGTTGGAAACTCTGATAATAATGTTTGAGATATGAGGTAATGTTGGTGAGTGCCGCGAGCGAAATTTATCAGTGGGCTCGGGCATAAATTGGCGCTGGTCTTCTTCATCTTTATCCTGCTTTGATCCTGTGACCGAAAGATTTATGTGTTGATCTCTGAGCGGTGTATCACATAACATTAAATACACGACTCATGAGACTCAATGAATCACAGATTACAGCGGGCAAAGTACTTGGATTCGATTGCAAATTGTCTTCTGTTTGCAAACGGCGGGAACGTATTTCGCAACCTGGGTATGATTACAAATTTTAATTTAGCAGGTAGAAACATATCAAGCATTCTGAATAGCATCGAACACCATTCGGAAATACATTGCACGTCTAACGAACCGTATTACGAGCTCTAATAGCGTAAAGAGTCCGGCTCAAAAAATACATGCGCTGGTGATCAAAGTGTTGAT